CCCCCCCCCCCACCCCGGCCTGCCTCCCCGCCCTGCTGCCTGGGACCTACCTGGGGCCCTTCTGCACGCTGGGCCTCGCTGGGAGACGAGCGTCGGAGGCGCTTCCTCATGCGCGCAGGCCCTTCTCTCCAGTCCAGCTCCCACCGGTGACAGGGTGTGACTTCTGCTGCCGGGCCCCACAAGCCCAGCTCCCCGAAAAGCTGCTCCCGGATCCGGGCCCAGGCTCTGGCGGCCTTGACGTCTCCGCACCTCCGCCTCTGCGGAACAGAGCAGTGGATGAGAGCGCTCCCCTGAACATGGACACGGTCTGTCGCAAACAGTTAGACACGTGGAAAGCCCCTCGTGACTGGCCTCAGAATGCGGATTGTCCCAGGTCTAGGTCAATCAGCAGTAAAGCTCCGTACCACCTTCTCAGCTCCGAGCCCCAGTCGGGCCTGCTGCTAAGAACCAGCCAGGCCGCCTTCTAAGAGGCTGGATCCTTTCTTTCTGGGCTTGGAGGCTCTGCTGAGCTTCTGTCCTTCCACCTGACCTTGACCTCTCCCAACCCTGCTGTGTCTGACAAACAGTTACTTGTGAGCGAGCCTGGCGGCTGTGGGATAGATGTGCGTTTCTGGGCTGCAGGCTGCAGGTCTCCCGACCCCCTGGAGACTCCCAGGCGCGCTGTGGACGCCCAGGCGAGCTTATACGGAGGAACGTAGACCAGGTAGCGTGGCTTACATTGATCAGAGCCTCTTTCCCCTGCCCTTGGGCTCCACTGTTGCATCATTCCTTGGCCCCTCACCCACCCCAATACGCCCCATGGCCCTACACCACTGTTCCCCCCTCGTGGCAGGACATCTAGTGCTGGCCTCACTGCCTGTTTGCAATCACTCCTTGACTCCTTGCCCCGCTCTTCACTTGTAAATACCCTCTGGCTGGAGCAGTGCCATTTAAGCTCCGCCTTTCTATGCCTGGCACAGGCTTTGGAACAGAGCAAGTACGAAGTAACGACTGGAATTAGTAAGGTTCTAACACTATACGTTATGTTCTATTATTAGCAATTGTTTTCTTGTTAATTTTGTTAACAAAACCCACTGACCATAGCTTCTGAGCCATGCAAACCTGCATGTGGGACTTCTGCCTCCGTGCCCCTAGGGCCCTTGCCTCCCAGGAAGGAAGGGCTGCCCACCTTAAAGATGGGGGCTCTGAGGCTCAGACGGCAGCCGAGGGGGAGGCAGACCTGAGAGTCAGACAGCGAGCTCAGGGCGTGGCAGCCGCGCCCTTCACCTCTCGCCAGGCATGGGCCTCAGAGGTGCTGGCAGCGCTCAGCCTGCCCTCGGCACTGGCACCACTGCCCGAGGAGAGAAGGCAACGCCCTTGTGTGGGGCAAGCACTGCTACTCCAGCCCTGCCAGTCCCCACCCTGTCCCCTCCCAGCTCAGGTCTCCGTCACTTCTTTTCCTTCCAGGTCACTGATGACTCCAGCTTTTTCCTGCCTCTGGACTTCGCCCAGGCCCTCCCTTCGCCAAAAACACTTCCTAAACTACTTTAGTCCATAGTCCTCCTTCAGATCTCCACTTAAAAGGCAGTTCCCTTCAGATCTGCCCAAATTAAACCCTTTTCCCTGTTATAAGCTCCCCTTGTACCTGTGTTTTCCAAGTCTATTGTTCATCGTGTTATAATGATCTGTCTATTTCTGCAGTTATGGGGTGTCATCTGCCCAAATTAAACCCTTTTCCCTGTTATAAGCTCTCCTTGTACCTGTGTTTTCCAAGTCTATTGTTTATCGTGTTATAATGATCTATTTCTGCAGTTATCGGGTGTCTCTCTCTCCTTTAGAGGGAAGTGCTCTGAGAGTGAGCGGGGCCTGCCGTGCTTGCAGTGTGCCCTCGCTCCTGGCAGAGGGGCCTGAGGACCCTGAGGGGACGCGTGCAGACACATCCCCAGCTCCTCCTCTGCTCAGACTGTGGCTGCAAATCCCCAGCACCATTAGCCCACCATTAGCCGGGCTGACTAGTCCCTGACCAAGCACTGACGCAGGCCATCTAGAACCTAAACCAAAGGCCCTTCTGATTGTTACAGGGGTTCAAGGCGGGCTCTGGTCTCTGTGTAGAGGCAGGAACTGTTTTGGTTTTACCTGCACGTGATCTTTGTATAAAGATGCATAGAGCTCTTGTCCTTTTCTTCTGTAGTTTTCGATACACGACACAAAATCCTAGAGAAGAGAGACAACGAGCCACAGCTTAGTGATAGCGGATGTTAGGTAAGAACTTCTCTGCTCAGACCAACACCAAAGGAGGTGACCCGGGATCTGTGATCACGTCCATCATAACCTCGTGAGTAAAGACTTCACCTAAGCTCACACACACACACACACACACACACACACGCACACACATGTTTGTGAGTTACTTCCACTCCAGCTTGTAGCCGACAAATCCTCCTCCCAAGAATCACAGAAAAGCTGGATCTGAATGCTCTGCTTTAAGACAGCAGAGAGCTCCCAAGAGAGCCAAGACTTCGGGGGGCAAAGTATCGGAGGGGAACCCTCACTGACATGGTCTCAGTGCCTAATACCTGTGCTTTTTTATTTCCCCTCGAGATATTCCAAGTTTGCAAATGCGTAAGAGGCTGAGGAGCTAAACAGAAACTGGTGGCTGAGAAGCAGGGAAGCTTGACAGCGCCTCTGGGAGTCTCAGGGGGCTAAGGAGAGAAAAGTGGAGCTCAGGCTCACCACGTCTCCCAGAACATAAGGAGCCAAGAGCCCCAAAATGTACAGTAAAGAAAAGGAGCCCCGCTTTCTGCATTGGTGTTCCCCTTTAAGCAGTTGCCCACGCGTAAGCAGCGTGGGGCTAAGGCTGAGAAATAAGTAACGCTTCCCGCAGCCTGAGCCTGTAGAAACCAGCAGGACTCGGGCTTTAGGTGGGATCTCGGAAGGCTGCAACATCGGGACCCAGGGAGACCGGAAACAGACCAGGCTCCCAAAGCTGAAACCCAGCTCCCAGCGACCACCCTACTGCAAGCGCATCCCAGAAGGCAGAGAAAGTTCTCTTTGGATGCGGTGCATCACCTGAGCTTCTAATAGAGACCTTCATGCAAAAGGCTCAGCAGTCAAGCAGGAATTACTGGATGTGCCCACAAAATGATCGATAGAAAAATAAACATGTATCCAGACATTAGACTTGTCAGACATGGACCTTAACATAATGCAAGCAATATTGTCCAAAGTGAAATATGGAGAATTTTGCAAGAGACATGGAATCTCTGAAAAATAACCAAATGAAAATGATAAACCTGTCGTATGAATTAAATAAAATAAGAAATCTTATGGGTGAGTTTAACAGGACAGAGGATAAATGAGGTTGCAAAAATACCCTTGCTAAAATATGATGAGATAAAAATATGGAAAATATTAAAAAGATAGAGATAGTTAGGTACATGTATAATATGGAGAAAGCATATAACGTGAGCCTCAAAAGGGGAGTAGAGCAATATGAAAACTTAATGAGAATTTTCTGAAATAAATGAAAGCCATCAGCCATAGATTTGACAAATTCTACAAACCTAAATAAAACAAGAAAAATATTTTTACAACCACACATAATCCCATCATAGTAAAACTGCAAAAACAAAAGATGAAGAAAAATATTCAAAACCACACAGGGAAAAGTCATATTGTCTTTCAAAATAGAACAGTAAGAACGGAAGAGGCCAGCCCTGGCCGGATGGCTCGGTTGGTTGGAGCATCGTCCCGTACACCAACAAGATGCAGGGTTGACTTCTGGTCAGGGCACATACCTCGGTTGTGGATTTGACCCCCAAGTCAGGTGTGTACGGGAGGCAACCAATCAATGTTTCCCTCACATTGATGTTTCTCTCTCCCTTCCACTCTCTAAAATCAATAAAAACAAATCTTTAAGTGAGGTTTATAATAAATAAATAAGAGAGTGAGTACTGACAATGTGTTCAAGAAACTTGACACTGAAGAAGGAAGAAGGCTCTGGGGGCAGAGCTGACAGGTGAGAGGGAGGCTACGACTCAAGTGGACGGCGAGGCCCGGGGAGGTGGCCGTAGATGCCAGCAGGTTGAAAGCGAAGGAACAGAAGCGTCATGATGGTGCAGGTTCTCTGGGAGGAGAGGTAAGGATGGGGTCAGCAGCCCACGCAGAGGTTGACCTGAGCTGGGGAAGGGTAGGCCCCGCATGCTCTAGGCTCGAGGGAAGGACCTGAGGATGTGCAGCTGCAGACGCGTGTGTAAACGGGACACTGGGAAGCGAGGCGGGTCACACCAGGTGGCTCCTAGCTCCGGGTGGAGGGGGGGTAAGGGTCTGCCTCCCCGGAGAGCTGAGCAGGGGCCTGGAGCAGAATGCTGAAGGTCCGGAAGAGTGGAGTAGGAGGATGGAAGGAGGAACTGGCCAAGGAGAAATGACTCCAACAATACAGGAAGTGGCCGTGCCAGGAAATGAGCTCTTGGACGCTGTTCCCAGGTGCGTCTCCCCTGCTTGCGTTTCCACCCTGCATATCTCGGTGCTCGGCACACACTACTTTCCCATTGGCCTTTGAGGCCTTTTGTGCCCTGGAAACTGGTCCCTCTCAGGGCATGGAGACAGGAGGAGGGCAATTTGGGTCGGTTCAAGGGCAGAGGCTCTGCCTGCGCAGCAGGGAATGTGGCTTGTTGATCAGGGACACGTTCAGAACAGAGCTCCGTGTGGCTTATTGGAGCTAAATAGCCTTTGCTTAGCAACTGCCTGTGCATGAAAGAGTTTAGAGCCTGTGAAGTAGAACAAAGGGCCCACGAAGGCCATCTGGAGACTTGAGGGCACGCAGAGCTGGATTAAAGAGCTGTGCTTGGCTCTCCCAGCGCCTCCTCGGAAGGGCTTGGCTAGAGGGTACAGATCAGACTTTGGAATGGGAACGGGAACGTCCCATCTGGAGGGTCACCTTTAATTGAGCTGACCTCAAGCTGGTGGTGCCCACCATGCCAGAGACACCCTGGGCTGGCCAGCTGCCGTGACCCTCCTGCCCAAGCTGTCCCATAGGAAGCGCCTGCTGGCTACTGATGACAGTCATTACACTTGTTTGTTTAAAGCCTCATTAGTCTTGTGTCCACAGTTGTGTGGCCTCACAACAATGAGAAAGGCCAGCATCTGAAGGCAGCCCCTCAGACCCTGCTCAGAAACTTGGAGCCAAGATGACAGTCGCAGGCCTTGCCCCAGCCACGCTCTGCACGCGCCAGGCCTGGAGGGAGCTCAGCAGCGAGAAATGTCACGGCTTCACATGCACTGACCTGCCGTGTGCTGACACCTTCCCAACCTCATTTTAACCCTCCGACTCTCCATTTCACTGCTAGTAATTTATTCCAAGGGCACCTAAGATATAAGCCCAGGGATTCCCTGGGCAACATTTCCCACCATCCTATTTATAGCAGCTCAAGATGAAATGGTTCAAATTCAACACAGGAGGGGTGCTTCAGCCTTATAAAGCGCATGTGGTCACAAAGGCCGTCGCAAGGGCCACCACTTGCCCACACAGCACCTTTGTAACTGTCCTGGACCTGAACGGAGGGCTTGAATTGTGGAACGAAGGCTGCATTTCAGCTTCCTTCTGCCACTCTGGCCAGATGTCACTGCTCACAACCCACACAGCCATCACTGAAGCCTCAGTGTCAAAACTATTCAGATACGAGACCAAGTTTATGACTGACCAAGATTTTTTGAAGGAGGTTAGAAAACAGTATGGTAGCAACAACAGTTAAGTCTGTATGGATTTGCATGGAAAAACAACAAAGAACATGCAGTGCGCTGGTCATGAGTGCTGCCTGCCAAGCATTCCTAGCTCTCTCCTCCCGAGGTCACCCATCCTGCTGCCTTGGAGCGAGGCGAGGCCCGGATCCGTGTGCAGGCGCTGCAGGCTCCTGAGCAGCTGGCTGCGCTCCTTTCTGACTGTGATGGCAGCGCTCGGTGTCCAGGCGATGGCTGCTCCGTGAGCCAGTGCTGCTGAGTTAAGCTGAGTCTCCAGCAGGCTCCCTGCCAGCCCACGCTGCACTGGTAACACAAGTGAGAGACAAATCTTCGCCATTTTAAGCCAATGAGATTTGGGGGTATCTGTTACTGCAGCATAACCTAACTTCCACATAAAGTATGTTAGAAAGGGTTGTAGTGGAAATGGATTTATATGTGTGATCAGTGAAAAAAGATCAAGAGCACTAAAGTGAAAGCAAGTATGAGATGAATGAAATACCATGAGAAAAGTGCTGGAACAATTTGAACAACAAGACAAATTACAGGCTTAATGAATTATAGCCCAATGTATACCTATAGATGAGTCCCTACTGATATAAATAACATTGAACAAATTAATTTAGGGGGGGAAGAGACAAACCTTCCTCACAGAAGAACTTCAAAAAATGGAGTTACATACCTACCCCCCAGGAGGCAGAACTCAATTGCTTACCCCACTAAGGGTGGGTGGACTTAATGCCTGGCTCCCAAAGGATCAAGTGTGGAGAGGGAAAAACAGTAGCTTCCCAGTGGGGAGACCTGAAGGCGCCACATGACCATGCGCTGAAGGCTGACATCATTGGGCAACGTCACATGGTGCTCTACAGCCCTTAGCTGACAAGAAGGGCACTTCTCTGTGGAATGTCTTCTGGAAAACCCATAACCCCTGGCTGATGATGAGGGAAAATATTAAACAAACCCAAGTTGAGGCGTATTCTATGAAACACACCTCAGAGACCAGCATCTCTCAAAACCGTCAAGGCCACGAAAAAACAAGGAAAGTGCGCAATTGTCACCGAGTGAAGAAACTAAGGGGATGTGATAACTAAATGCCATATGGATGGTGTCTTCACTGGGTTAGTAGGAAAACTGAACAAAATAAAGTCTGGAGTTTAGTTACTAGCAATATACTAATTAATATCACTTCTTAGCTTTGACAAATGCACCATGTTATGTAACATAAGAAGTTAACAAGGGGAAATTGAGTGAGGAGTATATGGCATAGTTGAATAAAATGTGAAAAGTATATAAAAGGTATTTGGAATTAAAAAGCACATTGAAAAATACAATGGGTTTCTCACAACCCTTTCACCTAAGCCCCATCATGAACCCCATGGGGGATGGGAGTCCCCACTCTCTCGGTTGGACACAGTCCTATGTTTCTTTTGGGTGCAGACAACTCATTGTACAGAGTGTAATTCTCATGTTCAAAGACA